TAAAACAGTGTTGTACTTGGATATGATTTTAACTCGGTTTCCAAGTAATTTGATAAAAGAAACTGTTAGAGTTTAAAATAGACGTGCCTGTGATAGTCTGGGCATCCACCATGTTAGAGCCATTAGGTTGGATGATTTCAAGACCAGATGCACCCTGGGGTCATGCTTTCACTGTTGAAACCAGCAGGCTTTTTTAATCCAAAATATATATACTATTATATTATATTGCTTTGATTACATTGATTGGACAAGTACAGCACAACAATGCTCGCTTTGGTCATCTTAAAATGATCATATCATTCTGTATCTCTCCAGTTACCCATTTTCCAGCACTGTTGTATTCGACCCTTTTAACTTCCCTCAGATGCCGGAACCAAAAGCAGGAAGTGTTTCTGCAACTGTACAAAGCTCATGCATAATTAACAAGACAAGCATCGCTTAGTTTATGATTGGTTGTCAGTTGCTAAGCATTGCAGTTTCACAGTCTTTAAGAACTGAAAGTCTTTCTTGAATAATGTGCAATATATCACAATTTATGACTTGTATGACAGCATTCCAAGGAATTAAAGCTGTTCTGAGTGCTAAGGGTAGTGCTATACTCCTTAAAGTCCCACCGAAGAGCCTTGAAGCACGCAGTGTTATTCAGTGTGTTGATGCAATTTCCTCTAAAACACAGAGACAGGGCAGGACAAATCGAACAGCTCCTCCCCCTTTTTTAAAATAGCCAATAGTGTTTCATTTATATCACAGCTCGGCCAGAGCCGTTGAGTTCGGTAAAGCCACATAGATTCCCCTTTTAAATGACAAGGAAAACAGTGAACGTAATCATGCTGAGGATGTGTAGTTTGAAAAGTGTGTAATTTTTGTTGGTGCATGGCACCGATGTTATCTCTTCTACTGAAGTGCTGTTTCTAATGCCGAGTCTGTCTAACCGTTTGTCCTAATCTCCTCCATATTGCTTTAAAATATAGCATTTTCTGTGTAGAATTCAAATGGGTCCGATATATTTTGTGGTATTCGCCGGCTCTGTGTTATCTCTGTGCTGCGGTTCGTGTGAAACTAACGCGAAATCAGACTTCACTCGCCCCAATAGAAAGCATATTTACACTGAATCCTTTCCTATTCCCTATATAGTGCACTATGTGCCATTCACCGTATAAAAAAATTGTAATTGTGTGAACAAGTGGCTGATTTCACCCGCAGCTTCAGCGTCTATTTATAGTGTAAATCTGATAAGAAGCTGAAGTGCAAAGTGATGTCATCAAAATCGTTTATCCATATTGGCGGAAGTGAGAGACTGTAAGTTTTGAGTGCTTGCATCTTCTAAATGTAAATTTTGTCATTGTTTTGGAGCACACTATCTTATAGATAACCTTAAGGCTAAGATATTCACACTAAAAGCCCACAAACTTCATTTCTGATTTCATGGGGACTTTAAATTGACTCTTTTTCTCCTACTTAATGACTGCAATCTGTAGAGAGGAGAAAGATGTTCTCCGCTGTAAAGAGATTCATCTCCTGCAAAAATAATTTAAGGGGATATTTTCTTATCAGGTAGTTAGCAGTTGCAGCCTTTTTATCCTACTCTACTTCTCTGTCCTCATAATCTCTTGTCTGTATCTCTTTGTTTCTCTCTTCCCCCTGTCCATTTATCAATCTCTCAGGTGACTGCACGCGCTTCAGAGTAAACACACGAAAACTAATTGAATTACCCCAAAGGCTCAGAAATGGTGAGCATAGCTAATTTGTTGCCACAGCAACAGGCAAACCTTCCCGTGCCGCTTGTTTTGTTGACTGCGGTTCTGTAAACAGCACACACTCCCTCGCCTAACAAGGGAACTCCTTGCGTGCCCGTCATGCGCTGCGCTTCAGATTGATTCGCATTAATGACCGAACCCGAGCTCAAAGCACTGGCAACCTCTGACTGCCTCATACTTTCCATAACACGGCCCATAGGGACGCGTTCAGTCGTGCGTTAAATTGACTCATCGGCAGGCCCACATGGAGTCAGCGAGCATCATTCACAAAGTTCTGAGCATCCCATTCTGTGTATGTTTATTCCATATTTTGGTCATTTTAATGATGTTTTCAGCTAGCAATAGTAGTCTAGTACTTCATTAAACACATTTTACCACATTTAAATCCCTACCACAGACATCCGCTGACTTTCCACTAAAATAAGTGTGGGAAATGCAGAAAATGTCTGCAGGTTCCTTCTAGGCCTGGTAGAGAACTTTAGCTAAGCTATACTTTGTTTTCATAAAGAATGTGAGCGTAAACAGAGGAAGTTAGAGCTTTCACTGGTGTTATTTTAGCATCATTTGAGATACTGTCATAGTTTTATTAATATTTTATTCAATTATTTTAGTTTTTTTTATTTTGCTCTTAAAGTTTTAGTTATTAGTTCTGTTTTATCATTTTCATTAGTTGTTTAAATTGTCTATATAGTTTTTATTAATTTTATTTATTTAAGTTATTTTTGTACATTAAGTTAAACCTAAAATATAACAAGTAAATATCTTTTTTTATTTAACATTTATTTAATATCAAGTAACAGAATTTTTTATTAAACTTTAATTAATTTTAATAACCCTGGCGGTCACCCTCTTTTTCAACACTTAAAAATAAAGGTTCCAAAAGAGGAGTTATAAAACAGAAGAACAATAAAAGTTCAAAATAACTTTTTTTTTTTTTGTAGTGTAAAGAACATTTAAAAAATCTGAAGAACCTTTTTCCACTATAAAGAGCCTTTTGTGCAATGGAACATTCAATGGAATTCTTCTTGGAACCATCAATGCCAATAACGAGCCTTTATTTTTAAGAGTGAATATCGTTTTTTCTTTGTGGGAGACATTTCTGTTGTCCGCTCATACTGCACCATCCTCACAACCATTGAGCATAATATATATTTATCAAAACTGCATAGCTAACTAGGTCAGCTAAACAAACTCTAGCCTTTAGCTATGAATCTGAGACATTGCTGTCTCTATCACCACCTGCTGGTGAGTTAGTAGAACTGCAACAATTCTCTCTAGTATTTAAATGCCATTTGATTTTTAAATGGTGCAGAAACTAAGTGGTTCAGAGACCTCCAATTCGATGAGATGCTGCTGTACAGAATTAGCATCAAAATGCCCTTGTGCTTTCATTGAGCTCACCTGAAATGAGTTTCTAATCCGGGGAATGCCGTGACTCTCCGTGGAAGTGTGTGTGGGTCTGTGTTTGTGTGTGCTCTTCTGCCATGTGTGGGAGTGCATACTGCACATGTAAGGGAGAGTAGTCTGTCTTTAGGCCTATTTCTTAAGCTATGAAGCACTTTTAGAAAATAAACCCCCTTAATACACAGTGTTAATGTCAAATCATTATCAAAAGTATTATACACTTTTATATTATACACTTTTGATAATGATGTATTGTGTTTGACATCATTCTGTGCTGGAAATGACATTTGAGGCATTTTTGCATTTAAAATGGTAGATTAGTCTTGCCAAGGCTAATTTCATATCGTTTGTATCCTAAATAGCATAGTTAAAAACACTCAGTTTGACTAGAATTGATGCACGATAAATAAATAAAAAACATTGGTAACACTTTATTTTAGTGTCTTTGTTACACATTACATGTTGCTATAGTAATATAACAGTAATTACATGCAATTAACCCAAACAAAACCTTGATCCTAACCCTATAGTTAGTCAGAGCTGCCAACTCTCACGCATTCAGCGTGAGACTCACGCAATTGACACTTTTCACACGCTCTCACGCAGAGATAAATCGCGAAGCAAAGAGGACACTGACACAGACAAGACAGAGCAGGTTCCTTTTGATATGAAACTTATTCTCAACTTTCAAATTCTGTCAATTTTATTACGAAATTCAAACAATAAATACCGTTTTGGCGCTTGTAAATGTGACAGATCGCTGTAGTGCCTCAGTTCAAGCGGCACGTGAACCGTTCATCTCTCTTTACTACTGGTTAATAGTAAATAAACACGAATACACAATAATAGGTATGTTGAAAGATACAGTACAACTTATCGAAATGTAAATGCCTCATACATGCCTCATGCACCCCCCCCTGCCATATGATGCAACAGTTGTAATTTGAGTATTATATTTTATTTATGTAACTTTTTTGTGTGTTTAGTATATGAAGTATTAACACTTTTATTCAGCAAGGATGCATTAGATTAATCAAACGTTTCAGTAAAGACATGTATAATGTTACAAAATATTTCAATTTAATGTATCACAGTTTCCACAAAAATATTAAACAGCACAACTTTTTTCAACATTGACAATAATAAGAAATGTTTCTTGAGCAACAAAATTTGAAATTTCAGCTTTGCAATCACAGGATGAATACTGTGTTTTTTTTTTTAAATCAAATAAATGCAGCCTTGGTGAGCATAAGAGACTTCCTTCAAAAACATTTAAAAGTCTTACCGACCCTAAACTAAAGCATTTGCAGTAGTAAATGCTTAGTGCTGGTTTTACTCTTTAGATCATTTCATAAAAGATTTAGTGAAATTTTGTGATGAATTAAAAAGAGTAAAGCAATTAAATCTATAGCAAAATAAAAAAGGCGTTTGCAAAGTTTCCAGATTTAATGTGATCTTCGCTTAACAAAAAGAAAATCTGTTCATTTGAATAATAATCATCCGCTCTGGGACATAGAAGTGCCTGTAGCTGTAGAAACAGCCTTATATCTCTTCATCTCTCTCTGGTTTAATCTCAATCGCTCTCTCGATTTCCCTCGTACTCTCGTTCCCTCGCCTCCCTCCTCCGTCTTTCTGTACATCCCTCCCTCTCTCCCTGATCTCCTCCCTCATTCTGCCTCTCTTTCATTCTTTCGCTCTCTCTTTCTTTAGCAGTGTAGTCTGGGCACACTGCCAGCTGGCATGTGTCTTTTTTGAATGAATACCTGATGAAGTTGGTGGTGCGCAGTGAGGTGAGGAGTGGGAGGAGCTGAGCGAGTGAGTGAGCGAGGGAGGGAGAGGAAGGGGAGAACTGGTGGCCTGGCTTGGCCTTGCATAACGCACGTTTGAGTGCTGCAGGCAGGGCTCAGAGCTCAGCGCTCCTGTGTGACACACGGGGCCCGGCGGGGCAGGGGGCAGTGCCTGACCACAGCCATGACTTAGAGCAGGAAGGGCCATTGGTTCACGCCGGCCACACCGCTGTGCCTCCGTAAGGTGTCAGGGTGTCTTTGTGCCTGTGTGGCTCCTGTGGGAACAAGGGAGAGACTGAGAGAGCGACTCAAATGGCCTCTCTGAACAACATGGTAAGCTTTTACGCACTCCCACTACAATGTGTTTTACTCAAATGCATGTATGTTAGAGATTGTGCATGTCTATTTTTCTAGCACTTCTGTTATAGTTATAGTGTGTTTCTCAACTGTAGCCAAGGGTATTACTGCAGCTTTCAGGTGGTACTTAAAAAGATCCTTCCTTTGTTGAACTTATAAAATAGATTAAAATAATTAGTAGTCAACACAGTGGCGCTATAAGCTGCTTTTTAAAGCAAAACAAACCATGTGTAATATGTGCATAATGCTAGAGTAAAGACTCCAAAACTCATGCCAAAAGAAATGCAGTCTACTGTAATACAAGTTCTCTGGTTTGGTATTGATGAAGTGTTTGAGCGTTAATGATCGAACTGTGAAGGTTCATAAGGCACAGAAACATTAGTGAGTTCTAGTACAGTTTCTCTCTTTCTCTGTCTTGTCTTTGTGATTCATGTTCTTTATGAGTATCTCTGGACTTGAAAGTGCAAGTCATTCAGCTGCACTTCTTCATGCAGCTACAAAGCTCTCTCTCTCTCTCTCTCTCTCTCTCTCTCTCTCTCTCTCTCTCTCTCTCTCTCTCTCTCTCTCTCTCTCTCTCTCTCTCTCTCTCTCTCTCGCTCTCTCCTGAGAGTGTTCTGTTTCTTCTTTCCTTACGTCGTATCTACTTTACAACCTGTCTCTGTTTCACTCGCTCTATCCGTTTCTGTGCTGTTCATTGTAGAGATCAGGCACTGGGACAGTTTGTGAGTATCTGCCCACCTTTTAAAGGGAAAGCGCCTCAGAAAAGTGTGGAAAGATCTACAGTACAGTAAGGTTGTGTCTTAAATGCTAGTGAGCTACTTGCCTAGACAGCACGTTTGACCATTCTAAACTGTTATTTATCAGTACCTATGAAGTAATAAGCTCACTAGAGGTTTTGAGACTGCTGTCACTTTTGGTTTTAGAATTAGACTTTTGCATTATGTTGTGTTTAAAGATAAAGATAAGTTCCTTTCAGAAAATAGTTTTTGACACTAAAATGACCGAAAATCTGTTTTTCTGTGGATATATCAGTTTTTAGAATTACTCTAATATTTCGTGTAGTTTCTCAATTAATATGACGTGATAAAAATCATAGTTAATAATTATACACGAATATTGAAAAATTATGTTTGAAATAATTTTAGTTGAACTTCTGTGACACGCACAGTATAAAAATAAATGTAATACATTATATATTGCCTTCCATGGTTTTATTTTTATTGTGATAGTTGTTTCCAAGTTTTTGCATTTTAAATCAATGCGTTTGGTTGTGTCCACAGAGTTGCATTCTTGTCAATAATGCTGAGGTTATATTGACTTAAACCTGGTCATCCTCACGGGCATCTCCCGTTGACCCACTAATGCAGCCCACAGATCTCAGTGGATGACATGTTGTGCTGCATTATTGCGATGCGAGTGGGTTTTTATGGAGAGGAATGCATTCTGAGAGCCCATGCTTCTTCTCATTCATGTCTGTGTTAGATTCACAGTGAATGTCTTTGATTAATGTCTCTGATTTGTCCCCGCGGTTCTCCGTCGCTCTGAGGCCCCGGGGACGTGATTCATAGTGTTGCCAGGGCTGATGGAGGACAATAAGTTTAGGTTTCAGGTCATCTGATACTGTTCTGTTCCTAGTGCGCTCAGCAAGATCCAGCTGACAAGGCTTTTATACTGCAGTCTCTCTCTCTCTCACTCTCTCTCTCAGCTCTCACTACGCTCTTAGTTTACAGTTAGGAAGCAGTGGAGGTGTGTGTCTGAGTGTGTGTGTTGTGTGTGTGTTAATGAGTATTTGAATGAGCCTCTGTGCTGGTCTTCTGTTGCTATGTGCTTGCTATTTTTCAAGTGTGTGTGTGTGTAGGTGTAGCATAGTGTTCTCGCTAATGTAGGTCAGTAGATTGCTCCCTCCCTCCCAGCTCTGTAGGCGTGTGTGTGTGTGTGTGTGTGTGTGTGCGTTGGGTTTAATCCTGAGGGATAAGCAGTCAGGGCTGAGAGGACCCAACTGTGAAAGATTAGGACTTGGCTTTCCCTGGGATACCACAGAGGTGTGTGTGTGTGTGTGTGTTTGTGTGTGTTTGTGTGTGTGTGTGTGTGTGTGTGTGTGTGTGTGTGTGTGTGTGTGTGTGTGTGTGTGTGTGTGTGTGTGTGTGTGTGTGTGTGTGTGTGTGTGTGTGTGTGTGTGCGTGTGTGTGTGTGTGTGTGTATAAACACAATACCAGCCATTGGCATCAGTGTCATTAATCCTAACTGGCTCCCTGCAGTATCAGACATTCATTAAAGAATTGTGTAAGCTGCAGTCAGTTGAGTTGAGAATATACTACGCCTTCACTCTCTCTCTCATACTGTGGCCTTCTTTCTCTTCTGCTCTGCTTTTCTTTGTAATATAGTGGCTGCATGCTTTCGTAGTATGTACTACACATCCCTATTTAGTACATACTACGAAAGCATGCAGCCACAGTCACAGTTGTCCATAGAGGTTGAATACCTATAATATTATCTGTCAGTCAATTTATTATGTTTTTTCCCTCTGAAACTTTTTTCCAGTCCCCGGGGTTGGTGCTGGACAGAGTTTAAATGATTTGATTTGATATTTAGTTATAATTGTTTTGTTTTTGTATTGTCAATTTGTATTTGAGTTATATGTTTTGCCTTTATTGGATGGGTGAAGTCGAGTGGATAGTGATAGTGATAGGAGAGGAGAGAGCAAAACAGGATCAGAAATAAACCAAGTTGGGACTCGAACTTGGCAAATAACTTTTCCATTAACTTTTTTTCAGACTTAGGTTAAAATGTAATTAATTATAAATGTATATTCATTTATTATTATATTATATATATTTTATATTGTATATACGCTGTTTAATATTATATAATGATATATACATTTCTTTTTAAAAATTATTTATAAAAAGTAGGCTACATATTATTGTTTAATAATTTTTTTTATAAGAATTAGGAATACTCAATGTTTTTTCACAATAATATAATATTAGATTATAAAAACAACAGATAATAGTTATAAAAGAATCTGAGATTTCTGAAATTTCTTTGAAAATCTCTGTGATTTCTACACTATTTGAGCTCATATTTTGTTGTATTTATTTTGTATTATTTTTGTTTTGTTACAGTTTTTTGAATGAGAAATTATCGACCTGAGGTTGAGCATGGCACTCAAATTTTAGTTAAAGTTTTAGTAATTTTGCTGTGCATTTTTGCCATTTTTATTAGTGTCATTTTTATAAATATGTATTAAAGAGATAGTTCGCCCCCCCCAACCCCCCCCCCCCCCCCCCCCCGCCCAAAAAAAAAAAGAAAATTCTGTCATCATTTACTCACCCTTAAGTTGTTCCAAACCTGTGTGAGTTTCTTTGTTCTGCTGAACACAAAATAAGATATTTTGAAGAATGTCGGTAACCTGACCCCATTGACTTCCATAGTTTGGACATAGTCTAAGTACCAGTCATGCTTGGTACTTACTTAGTCATCAGTACATTCTTGGAAGTGTAAATTCCACACGTGCCATGGTGGCATTGTCCTTTTACCCGCATGTTCTTTGACCTATGACGTGCTAACAACAAGAGATGTTTAAACTAGTAAATAAACAAACAAGTCTTGGTACCTATTGCAGTTAAACATGAAAAGAGCCGTCCAGCTCATAGTTCTCTGCTACTACTTTTCCCCCAAGTTTTCATACCTTATTGATTTTATTTTTTGCTTAAAATGTGTCTGATAAGTACGCAAATCCAGATGCAGAAGAGTGTCTTTGGTTGTGCTTTTATTCATGGGAAGCATATATCATATCATATGCTCTTGCAGAGACTAAACCGAGATGTATCGTACATCAAACTGGGAACAATGAATCACTGATTACCATTTTAATCAGTTTTCAAATATAATCTCATCATAAAGATTTTAGTTCACCGCAAGCGTTCAAGGACCTGGCAGAGACCAGTTTAAACCTTTAGAATTGCCTTAAGAGTAAGTTATAATACCATCTAGATAATATTGTCATCTACCATGCATGATTACTTAAATCATTAATTAAAATGATTATGATAATTGGGTTATTAACATGCTTGATTGCCCTTGTCTGATGCAAATTATGGTAAAGGAAAAAGACTTACAAGAGAGGTTGGGGGTGGTGCAAAGAGAGATGAAAAGATATATGAGCCAAAGGGAAGGAATGAGAGTGTAACTGATGTGGGTGAGAAGTAGAAAAAAAGAGGTAGAAAACACTGATTGAGAGATTGCTGAGAATAAACACCCTGCTCAATGTCAATAGTGTCAATCAATGATGTTTAGCTGTTGTGTAACCTTTCTACACTACTTTGACTTAAGAGCAAACAGAGAGGACTTGCTCTTGCTGTTTGTAATCAGCTGAGGGCTGTTGTGTCTGCTTTAAGTGATGGCATGAACTTTGTGAACCTAAACATAAACATTGAACAAAACTATGTTTCTTATTTTGTCCAATTTTAAAACATTGTCTGAGGATATAGAGTTTGACAGGCACACTTCAGTGATATAGTGATGGTATCGGATGGTAATACCATGGTAATTTAATTTACATCATTGTTCTAAATGATTACCATATTCATATACAATGGCATTTATCTGGTTCTTCATGCTACATACTTCATAGAATACATTGCCATGTCCAAACAAGCATAGTATTGTGCAACACCATGGTACAGTGCATCATATAGTATTACCATGGTACTTGCATATACTATGGTACTACCATCTGATACCTGTAACTCCAAGATACATCCAAGATTACTATACTGCTACCATAGTACAGTATTAGCTTGGTGCCATGTCCAGTAAGACTTGATGCTCCAAAAAACATGATGCTAGCATTGTACATATCCAAAACATCAGAGTAATACTATGGGACATTTAGTTACTTTAGTGCAAGTGTTGCATACACACAAAAAAGTAAGCCGCTATACAGACCGGCTTAATGGGTAGGTTTCCCTCACAGCAGAATCCGCCTGCTCTTTTATAGCACTGCGACACTTGTTAAATCATCAGGGCCTGTTTATCATGCAAAACCACCCTCCCACCAGTTCTGGACAACAGACGCAGCTGAATGGGTCCAATCAGTAGAGCTCAGGGAGAAATGTCAAACAAGCCATAACACTGCACAACATCACTGTTTCGCCACGTGTATCCCCATACTCTCTCCACCTACTTTGATGGAGAGCTCTTAAAGTTAACATCAAATCCATCCAATTAGAAAGTTTTTATGTATGCATTCATTAATTCATTAGTGCATGTTATTCCAAAGAAAAAAATATTTGTGTTTGTAATCTTGCATCAATATGTGAAATGTTTCCTTTTGTTTAATGTCATGAGCCATGTGGGCTGTTGGTTAATGTAATCCTTTAATACTGAAAGCAAGTAATTTGTCAATTTAAATCTATCTCCATTATGCCATATAAACACCAACTTTTCACAATTCAGTCAATTCGTGATAGATAAAATAGTCCCTGCTTACACTTTTTTCTCTTTGAAAATCATTTTTTGGAAAAATTACTCATTACGGAAGTAAAATGGGTTACGAATGCTATTCCATTTAAACTTTAAGACATTTATATCACGTTTTCACAGTATAGTAGATGAGCTTCCAGTCTAATTTTTGATTGTGTGTTGCATGGTGGTGAATGTGTTGCTGGTTTCAAATAGGCCCTGAGTGCAGTGCTGGTTCATTATCAATGATGCTCACACTGTGTGTTCCATCTTGTCCTACAGGTGGTCCACTTACATACTCCAAACACACACACTATGAGTGTTATCCACAAGATACTTGTGCCTACTCACTAGGGGTGCACGATTTGGGGAAAATGTCATATTGCGATTATTTAGGTCAATAATGCGATTGCGATATAATAAACAAATGGTTTCATGAGTCAACTTGCTTAGTTCTCAAGGAAAATGCACTTACACAGATTAGTGATAATGCTGAAATGTGTATTTCTCAACTCAAGTGTTTTCAAATTAAAATAATATTTTTTACAAAATTAAATGATGACATCTTTGCATTACTGCAAACTTGTTATTGTCTCAATAGTACAATAGTATCAAATAAAAAAGGACATTTGCTCATGAAAATAAGATATTTTGAACATTCTGTCCAGACAAACGGGGACATAAGCAGGATGTGTATTGTGATTGTCAAAATATTTGGTAACTAAACAGAATTTTGTTAAGTTTAGTGACAATATGTTATAATGTTTACATGGTACAATGACTGGTAGGCTACTGTTTTTATTATTGCTTGATTTTGTGATTTGATTCCGATCCTGATTCAATATCGTTTCATTTGGATAAATATTAGGTACAGTAGATACATGTTAATTTTTCTCAAGAAAATAAAATATCTCACCTAATGCTGTAAACATACAGAGAACCCTGTCAGCTGGTATTATTATTAAAAGGTTAAAAATAACAACTCAAATTAAATATAATTAGTTTTTTTCTAGGCTATAATAACAATGTTACAATATTTTAATGATATAAGTAAAAATATAATAAAAATGTAATATAGTGCACATATTTAGCAAAATACTCCTCTCTATATATAATTTGTCTAGCCAACTAACGTGCTATCAAATGGCTTTCCTGAGGTAAATGTAATATTATGTGACATAGCCTATTGTTCTCCAGCTCTTTCCGCGGTTGAAAAACACTGATTGATCGATATTATGTATGAGGCATAAACATTTCGGTAAGTTGTACTGTATCTTTCAACACACCTATTGTTCATTTGTGTTTATTTACTAATAACTATTAAAGAGTAAGAGATGTTCGGTTCACGACCACGATCTGTCACGTCATATTTACAAGCGCCAAAACGCTATTGTTTGAATTTCGTAATAAAATTGACAGAATTTGAGAGCTGATGATTTGTTTCATATCAAAAGTAACCTGCTCTGTCTAGTCTGTCGGTGTCAGTGTCCTCTTTGCTTCGCGATTTTTTTCTGCGTTATAAAATGGATGTGTGGCATGAGAGCGCCGTGTGAAAAAAGTCAATTGCGTGAGTCTCACGCTGAATGAGTGAGATTTGGCAGCCCTGCTCTCTCTGCTCAGTGTCGGTTATCTTATAGGCAAAATATCGCCATATAACAGAGGTAGATTTTTTTCTGGCCACCAGTCCAGTGTCCGTCTGCTCGGCATCCATCTTCACCTGTTCTCCGCGCTGCCGGAAAAAAGTCACGACGTGACCATACGCGCCACACGTGCCACTGCCTAAACTGAAACTGACTGGTCTTCTTTTTATTAGTGGTGTAGAAAATGGGCAAACAGCTCTCAAGAGAGAATGGGTTGTGATGTCCACACATGCATTTATTTATTTCATAAAATCGCAGCATTTTGCGTCATATAATCGCATAGGCTTGACATCGCGATTGCGATATGATTAATCGTGCACCACTACTACTCACATATATAGGGATATTTTTAAAAGCTGTTGAATGCACTGAACTAGCTTTTTACTTTAAAGTGTCTTGACAGAGTTTAAATGGGCCTGTCTTAAAACAGAAACAACCTTAATGATGCCTTGGTTATTTTTCAGGTTCTTCCTGCAGTCCTGGAGACTCGCTCTCAGAGGGAAATGATTCCACATGAATTGCATGGACCGCTCTCCCACAGCAGGTGTGACTTCCATTGCTTAAGACTGAAATCTGTGTCCATCCAACCTTAGGAACAGGACATTTCCCCTCTCACCACCACTCTCCTCTCTACCCCATCCCCATCCTCGCTCCGAGCCAATCAGTGAGAGGGCACACTCTGTTAGCAAGACAAACTAAGACCAAGAGGGAGTGGAAAAGAGCCAGAAAAGACAGGGGGAAGCGTGGTACAAGATTCTCAGACACCATGAAGTCAAACCAGGAGCGGAGCAATGAATGCCTGCCTCCAAAGAAGCGTGAAATCCCAGCAAGCACTCTGCCATCAGAGGTTAGGCCTATGGTGATGGCGCCTGCAAGTGATAGCCAGCGTGGGGGGAACCTGGCCTGGCTTGCCAGTCTGGCAAGCGGGCATGACAGAGGGCGGCAGCACATCAGCACCTCCGCAGAACCTGAGGGGCCTCAATACAAACCATTGTCAGCCATGGCTGAAAGCGCACCTTCCTCATCCACGCACTCAACCAGAGCTCTACCTACAGTGACCACAATACCTGCAGTGTACACGTCACCCCTCTCTCAGCCTACTGGCACCATCCAGTACACACCCCTGCCTCATAATCTACATTTCATCAGCTCTCCGTATACTGCACCATATGCTGGCTACATCTCTCCGCTAGTTCCCCATTCGTCTGCCACCACTACCACACAACGTGAGGTTTATGCCGGCACCTCCATTTCTCCAGTATCTAAAATTGACCATCACCATCATTTGGGCCGTTCAGGCCTGGTCACAACTGACAACACCTCTTCAGCCCACTCCACCCAATACGTCCACATTGCTGGTTCTCCTCTAAGCGTATCCCCTCGGACTGCTCCATCACCCCATGCTCACTTGCCTCTACACTTACACCCTCACCACACGCTCCCCCTCAGTGGCCCCTCGCAGGTCTTAGTTCAGTACACAGATGGACTTTTACCCAAGAGAGAGGAGACGAGGTCCAGGGTGGTGCTGAACGGAGAGCTGGAAAAGGACAGACGCTTTGGTCCATCTCCCGAGTCCAGTGCAGGGAAGCAGGGCAGCACTGCCAAAGGGGGTTCCTCCTCCCATCAGCACCACATTCACCAGCAGCAGAGCCCACGTCACTATGAGGCTCGGCATGTGGTGCTACCTGCTGAATATGCGCAGGACAGTACAGCCATGCGGACCTCGTTGGTGCTGGTTCCAAACAGTCATAGCTCCAGTGTTGCTGATCCCGGAGGTTCACTGGACAAGCTGCCTCCCCCAACATCCCACACTGAAAAAGGAGGGATTTGTGCAGGCAGACCTGTGTCCCGCAGTTCTTCCTCATCTGTCTCCCTTCCATTTCCTCCTCCCCCTCCACCACCTATGGACAATCTGAAGGGAGCAGTTGCCACACTGTCTCCCCATGCAGTTATCCAGACCACGCATAACACCACAGAGTCACTCTCCCTGGGCCTCCCCTCCACCAATTTCTACTCCACCCAGCAGCCCATCATTGGTTACATTGCCGGCACAGGGCACCAGCAACCTCTCAGCTACCACACCAGCCTACCCCAGCACCTGGTCATCCCTGGAACTCAGCCGGTCATCATCCCAGTAAGTGGAACCGAAGCTACTGCTACATCGACCACAACGCACTTGTCTGCGGCACTGCCCCATGCTTTCGTCACCTCAACGGCCCCCAAAGTGGAGAATTTTGAACCTCCGGCTCTATATTCCCACCCTGCCCCAGCTGTGGTTCAAGCCCAGCTGCATCTGCCTGTGGTTCCAGCCCCTGCCAGCCTGCTGACGACTCCACCACCACCCTCAGCCCCTTCCCTGCCCCCTTACTTCACAAAGGGCTCCATCATCCAGTTGGCAGATGGGGAACTAAAGCGGGTAGAGGACCTGAAGACGGAGGATTTCATACAGAGTGCTGAGATCAGCAATGAGCTGAAGATTGACTCCAGCACTGTAGAGCGTATCGACAGCAGTCATACACCTAACTTCGCTATTATACAGTTTGCTGTAGGAGAACATCGCTCACAGGTGGGGTAATATATTTTTGCTTTACAGTTGCTTTAGAAATGTTTGATGACAAACCTGAGCATCTATTTCCCATATATACAAGGATAAGGGTGGGCGATAAATCAGTAGAAATAACAGTAGAAATTTGTCAAATGATATACATTTTTATAGGATCATTGTACAGAACCACTGGCACATGGTAGTAAAAGAATTTATTAGAAAAAAATAATGTAATGAAATTGACTATTGGCTAAGACCTTATGTAATTATATTGTAATCAAAATAAATGTTTTCTAGAATATATATTTTTGCTTATGTTGCCCACCCCTATGAACATATAGCACAGGTTGTTTTTTGCTAAATTACTATTGCAATGGTTTTTCAAATGCTCATAAGTATGTTTATACTGTATATTTTTATGGAATATTTATTATTAGGTATATAAAGTGCATTTTTTTATGTTATCATTCACATTTGAATTCCAGTCATTTGAATCCTGCTGTCTTAAGAGGTGGAATTTCAGTGGAAATAAATGGCAATATATTTTGCCCCTTAAAGACATTTTTATAATATGCAGATGGCATCTAAAGATGGCTAATTTAATTTCATATTTAACAGTGCTCACTAGGGAAAAATCTTTACGGCATTTACAAATGCCCAGGGATCTTCTCTACTTTATTACATCTTTCATGCATTTTTATCATCTGTTTGAATAACCATTTGATAGTCATTAAGTTTATTTTTTATATGCTTGACTGTGTGAAAGAATGTCCTCCTATATGAACTCCACCTGCACTCAATCAGTGTAACTAGATGTGGGGTAAATTGGCAGCTGAAATCATCTCCCTGTTCCATAATCCCTCCCCTGGCTGTCCCCATGGCATCTTTGTTTAGTTTGTGTGGGATTCACTGACAGAATTGAGTCATTCCTTATTTCTGCTTCCTTCTGTTGTACTGTGAGTAGGCTGTATGAAAAATCTGCTTCGTTTGTCTGGGAGTTGAGATGGGGCCACCCACTCAAAAGCAGTTCTAAAGTCTGTCAGTTTGAGAGGCGCTGATTAACAGATGCTATTTAGCAAAGGCATTCATTCATATCATCAGGCATTTGTGCATGACTTCTACTGTGTGAATTTCATTTCCTCTTTTTTGCCTCCCTTTTTTTTCTTGCAGGTCAGCGTGGAGGTTCTAGTAGAGTATCCTTTCTTTGTGTTTGGCCAGGGCTGGTCATCCTGTTGTCCAGAACGGACTAGCCAGCTGCTCGAGTTGCCATGCACCAAGCTTTCAGTGGGTGACGTCTGCATCTCCCTCACCCTGAAAAACCTGAGGAACGGCTCCATTAAGAAGAGCCAGGGGCAAGTCTTGGATGCGCCTACCCTTGGTCCACCCCTTAAATCACCAAAAGCACTCTCAAGCGGCACACGTGGAGGTGTTCGGCACACAGAACAGGAAAATGGACTTGGGCAATGTGTAGATCAGAGAGGTGGAGGCGGTCAAGGCAATAGAGAGAATGGAGAACTGAGGTTTGGCGAAAGAGACATCTGCAAAGCACCACCGCTCACTGAATCAGAGTCTGGCGGTAAACCCACAGGCCGTAAAAGGAGGTGGTCGGCCCCTGAGGGCTGCAAAGTAGAAAATCCTGAAGGAGAGCCCCCTTTAACGTTCCCCAAGCCTTCCTTCATCCCTCAAGAGGTTAAAATCAGTATCGAAGGCAGATCAAATATTGGCAAGTGAACACGTATTGGACTGTCAGATTTTAAAAGCAAAATTTGCCCTCAGAATGTTTTTTTATTTTTAGTTCTGATTTGATTTTCTATCCAGATTACTATACTTAAAGGCTAAATTGACTCGGTGTGTACATGATCACTTCTAACATTGTAATAGATGCATTCAATATTACACAAACAATTGGTGCAATTCATTTGATTGGTCAAAATCAGGGCAGATGTAGTCCAAGGTGAGAAAGTAATGAGACAACTGAGCACTGCATGATATCCTGAAGGCTTCAGTATATACAATCAGTCACAGCTAACAAGGCTAAGTCTCTCTAGTCTCTCACCTATGATGTCCTAAGACAAACTTGGTTCAACTACACCTAGTGGCAATTTAAACATTCATCTGCTGAGTGAACCTGAAAATGTTAGTAAGGGAAGATGAACAACTGGTGTGAATAAAAATAGCTAATGGTGGCAGAACGGAAATCACTCCTCCACTGGTTGCAGGAGTTTACATGATGTCAGCCATCTTGTTTAACTGTGACTAAAAGAGACTATCCAAATCAATCCTAACAATATAGAGCAGCATCGTCAGCGCAGTTAGACTAGCATAGATTATATTAACATTTATTGAAATGCAAGAAGAGGTTTCCAAATACTATGGTACCGGCCAAGAGAGATGATGTCATTGAGCGGGGACAGTTGCCCCATTGAAAGACGAAACTATAATTTTAAACAGGGAAGATGGACGAGTCTATTTTTATATATCCAACTGTCTAACCTTTTATTTAACTATTTTTGTAGGTTTGCATGTTTTAATTTTCTGTCTCACTTTTCAAACCCTCCCATCATACCTTGATGGGTAGATTTTTCTTGTTTTTTTGTGATGAATGTGTAAACCTTGCAATCAGGGGTAATTTTTTACGTAGACACAGGATGGGTTCTTTCTTGATGCATACAAACACAGTGGTGAGTAGTCCCTTGTTTTTAGTGCCGTCTCACCTGTTTTTTGTTCAAACAAAAGAAAGTAGATTATTTCGAAAGAAAGAGAGCGAAAGTTGTCTGAGGAGGATGAGATGAGTGTTGTCCTGAAGCACTTAGTTAACACCTGTCATGCTCACTAGCTGATAGTCAACTGAGTCAAATGATGATGATTATTATATTAATTATTACTATTATTATTACTGCTACTACTATTTTCTGTTGATCTTTTAACATGAACACCGTACTGTATGCTGTATCATGAATTGGATGTTGTGTGGCACTCTGTGGGAAGGTGATTTGCTCACAAGGGTCGCCGTGAAAGGATGAATGTAACAGTTGATGCAAGAGCAAACAATGAGATTTTGTCCCCAAGAGGACTGCTTTAAAGGAAGCACTTTTTTCATTGCGTCTGATTGGCTTAGCCATCTGAAGCAAGTGGACGGCTTGAGTAAAGACGGGCACAAGAGGCCGTGGCCCTTTAAACAACTGCCATTTAAGTCATTTAAAGCAAAAAGAGTCATGAAAGTGTGAATGCAGATGGAAATAAATACAGAGACTTGTTTATATATTTACAAGAGATATGAGAGTTGACGTGAAAGTGAGAAACTGGCTACAGAAATCTTTGGATGATCGAAGGGTGTCATATACCTGTTTGTTAGCAATGTATGTGGTCGTGCACGCATGCGAGTTTGTGTGCAGCTGCGCACAGGCTTATACACATGTACACGGTTACGGTAATTTTCAATCATGTTGAAATATGTCATGTATTTTTTTGTACATTAACATGTATAGAGCTGCAAATGCTATATCTATCTTACTGTATGAGAGCGTAAGACTACATGAGCACGTTTTTAGTCCCGTCCCCCAAGACTCATCGAACGTATGTGAAAACAGTCATGTAGTAATTTCAGTGATCTGTAGAATATTTGTGTGAATGTGTGTGAGTGTGTGTGTGTGTGTGTGTGTGTCTGTGTGTGTGTACATACCACACATATTATAAATAGATATTTAAGTTCTACTTAAAAGAATATTGCAATTTGCACATCTGGAGAGATAGTAACATGATTTATTTTGTTTTCTGCCAGCACAGGACAGGGCCGAAAACCCAACTTTTACTAAAAATGTAGCAGTTTCTTGACATATTTGCTTGGTTTGCAGGTCTGTTTGTTTAATTTTCATTAGGAAGACAAGGAAGCCCCTTTTAAGGGGGGTTTGAATTACACACAAACACATGATTGTGCACGGTGCTTTGTCAAAGGCGTTCGCTCCGTAGGGGTGGATGAAGTCATAGCTTGTAGCCTGCAAACCTGTCGAGTCATTCGAGCGGCCACACTCAAGTTAGCTTGGGTTGGTGAAGATGTGGCAGGAAGAAGGGTTGTAGTTGAAAATAAAAGATGCATTGATGGACGGATGGATTTAATGAGTGGTGGAGGGTGGGTGAGTGCACCCCATATACAATTTGAAAATGCTTTATTTTTTTATAATAAAACAGGGTTTCTCAGATCAACACCACAATCGTGCATTTTTTTCTTTTTTCCATTTGACATGGCGTCTCTGTCCCCTTGTAATGTGCGTGTTTTAGTTTGACTTAGATTGTATGTGTGGATGTATCTGCTTCAACCAATCAAACTTGATATTTTCATTGTGTTTATTTTGGGCCAAAAGCTAGAAATAAGATGTGATATTGTTTGTCCATTGAACCACCCCAAGAACATGACTGTCAATGGCGAATCGGTCTTGCATTTGTTTGGTTTTTCTTACCTTTCACTGTTGTCCTTCTCTTCATGTAATGATCAGTGTTTCGATGTTGCTCACTGCTTCGATCATTTTACAGTCTGCCTCCTTCTGGTTGCACAGTGCGGTTCCACGTATACGAGAAGCATTCCGAACAACAGCACGTAGCAATAACCCCTAGTCTCTAGTGCTGAACCAAAAAAAACAGAGAACCGGACATCAATGCCAGATCTTCTGTTTGACCTCAGCAATCTGTTTTTTATCCTCTTTAGGTTTATTTGCGGTTTGCACAGCCAGCCCTCAGTAACTTCAGGGAGAAATGTAAATTAATATGCAGTGACAGAGTCTGTCCCCTCCTAGCCGTCTTAACCCGTAATCGATAGTGACCTCCAGATGCTCTTCAGGTGCCCATACAGAACCAGTACGCCTCTCTCAGAGTATGTTTACCCAACCGCAACCGTTAGCTACCTTCTGTTGCCTGGCATGTACGTGCGACCTCTTTCTCACCCGGCACACCCGCTGTAGTTGAAGAACGTTCTTTTCTTTTCTCTTCTTTTTAATCTGTCTCTCGCTCATTCATAGCCATAGAACCTTGACAGTATTTGTGATGGAGTTTCATATTGCCTAGCCTGTTGAAATTATGACTGTAATTTACTTGTAATGTATCTCACTTACGATACCTATTGAAGTCAATGTGAATTGATGTTTCAACCCATTTTGCTTCCATTATCTGATATATTCCAGAGTTAAATAAGAAATCAAGAAAAGTTGGCTTTTTATACTAGAATGCAGTCAGACTGAGTACGAGTTTGCTAAAATAATACCTAAATTGCTAATTGGTTAAGAGTATCCATTAAGTGACATTAAGTGGTAATTCTTTGAAATTTGAATTCCTCACAATAAGACCTGGAATGAGCATTGAGGAAGTAAATAGGTTCGATTTTGACTCATATTGACTTTAAGTATCAGTTGTTATCGACCAGGAGACAAGCAAGTGTACGTGTTCAGTTCCAGGTATGTTATTTGTTTGGATTTGGACTTATAACTTTAAGACTTATCGACATTAATTTGAACATCCATGTTGTTTGTTTATCTGATTTTCGAGGAATAAGTCCAACTGCAAATGAATTGAATATGCTTGACGTGCGATGTCCTGAATGAATGAAACATCACAGATGTTCTGTGCCATCACATTTAATGGTCATCACAAACAAAGAGAATAAAAGATGCACATGGTACAGCTGGTGGTTTATTGTGCTGATAATGAGAGTCTCTTATGACCTCCAGTGCTGAGAGACAAGAGAAATAAGAGCACATTAAAAGTGGTGGATGCTGTTTTGACACCTTATTTTTTAGCATCAATGTCACATGAAACTCAAACCCCAGTGGTGATGTTCTAAACTCTTCTTCTGTTTAAGCTTGACATGTTCACGCGTAACAGTTTGTGCCATCTGCATGTAGCACTGTTTCTGTGGTTTCCATTCATACTCCAGTAGCACTTTATTTGACAGTCCTGTTACGCATGTACATACTGTGTACTTATTATAGCAATTACAGTAACTGGGTTATAACTAGGTACTAACTCTAAACCTACCCCTAAACCTAATGTTAACCCATGTAGTTACTTTATATTACTTTAATTGTTTTGGGTAACTACACTGTAAGTACACGTACTGTAAAATAAAGTGTAACCCATACACCTTCTCCCACAAATGGTATTATTTGTAGGCTGTGGGTTTTATTATTTTATTTAGCTTTTTGTGAGTAAATATGGCAAATATAGTGTTTCACTTTGTTGAAATGTTGCACATTTCATTTACTTTGGCAGAGGGGTGAGTTTGCTGTGTCTGACATTATGACAAAATCATTTGCTTTTCTGATAAAGGTCAAAATCTTTCCTTGGGCTTACTCAGGGATGGGAAAGAGGTGTGAATGTGTGTGTGTCGAGGAGGTTGTGTGACCTTTGAAAGGTTTTTGTACATGTTAAGATACATACACACATATATATATATTCTTGTGTGTGGTAAACTGCTGTAACCAGAATCAGTCATTTCATTGGCCCTGTGCTTTGGTTTCCCACAATGTCTCTACACCATATGAGGCCTTCCTAAAACACTCTGTCCGTCTCCGTGAAAGCGTCTGTGTCAGTCTGTTTGTCCCCATCACAAGCTGTCTGTCCGTCTGCCTGTTGTCCTTCTGACGTCACAAGCCCAGATCCTCACACATGCAAGATACTGAAAAAAAGACTGAGAAATGATTCATCGACCTCATCAAAGTGGGGACCACTTTTATAGAAACAAACGAAAACAAAATGCACATTTTTGTCATTTATAGAATAGATAGACTTGATAATACTGTTTCAGCACTTTCTAATCCTGAGGAAGATAGAGTGAGACTATGGTGTCATCGCAGTTTCTCCCCTCCAATACGAATTCCCTCCGTCTCGGCCCGTTCCTGGGTCCAACGGGTTGAGACGACGAGGACAAAGAGTTGAAATAACATTTGAATGGTCCTCTACGAACCTGAGATGACTTTACTTTTTGTTGTACTGATGTGTGCTCGAACACCATCGTTCTGTTTTGTTTTATTTTTATGTTGGTTCTATATTTAACCTTGCTTCATGTACTTTGGACTTTGTACTTTTGCTTCGGTCTCCTCTGTAGCACTCTTTTATCATGGTAGGAGACAAGAGAAAGTGTTTTAATGAATGTTTTTAAGAGCGACTCTGTGACGGCTCTCTCTCTCTCTCTCTCTCTCTCTCTCTCTCTCTCTCATAAGAGGAGCACCGCTGACTTTTCCTTGTTTTTACTTTCATTACTCTGGCACAAATGACAAAAAAGATGAATGTTGGATTGCGAGTTTCAGCAGTTTGAAAAATAAATCAAAAGTTGTTTCTTTTATTGTGGCTCTCATTGAAATACAACTTTATTTTTAGTTTGCTTTTCTTTGAAATTAGTTGTAAAATCAGTCAGGATTTCTCTGTTCAACTTGACTGTTTGACATCATGTCAATTGTCCAAACAGCTGGATTAATAACCTCAGGCTGAGAATCTTCTACAAGCCCACGTTATGGTTTTGTTTCACCCTGATGTATGGGCTGCTTGATATGGGTATTGTATCTAGTCTTATTGTTAATGCTATAATTGATATATGATCATTCAGCTATATCAGTGCTAATGCAGTGCGCACTCCTTAAAAAAGGAGTCATGCCCGGCCCTCGTCTCTCACGTTGTTTTGGTGAGCCGGTAAACTGACAAACGCTTCCTCAGAGAGAGGTACATCCTGTGTTCTGTTACCCTCATCTGGCCAGGCCTAACCAGAGCGCAGGAATGAGACTCGTGTTGAATCTTCAGGAGTATTTGTCACTGTTGGTTTGAACTGGACACTCCACCATGGTTAACCACTGAGAACTAAACGCCAGGGACGTTTTGACCATGACAGGCCGGAACCGACTCGTGTACAGATGCTGTTTTCACATACACAATGTCACCTTCACGCATAGCAATCAACAGCCTCGTAACGTGTATTTATCCTTCAGAATTTGTACAACTATACATATCTTCAAGAAAAAAGGTCATTTTGTAATTCTGGATTTCTTGCCAATGAATGCTTAATAAGATGTCTCTGTAAAATTGTACTCTTTTTAGGCCTGATTTTAACATGTCAGTCATTTCCAAGTATGTTTTGTGTAGATTCTGAATGAATGGTGAAGGTAGTTTCTCATGAATTTGAAAGCTGAGGCCAGATCAATTATTAGCAGGAGGTGAAATAACACTCTACACCTTGTCAGGTGAACAGAGTTCGGTTATCATTAAATGTCCAGCCACCTCTCATTTTTCTTCCCCTGTTTGTTTTCGCTTTTTGAGATTGAAATGTTAAGATGTGTTTCGTGAAACAGGAAGCCATTGGTCATTCCTCAGGAAGGAGTGGGTTCAGATATAGCAGTAATACCCCATGTTTGCTGGACTAAAGGTGTTGCGGGTCGTGTCATAAAGAGATTTGAAGTCTTCCATTGGAAGGGAAATGGAAGCTTTTTCTAGTTTCTTTTTTCACTTGCCATTGGGCAGAAAGATCCACGATCATAAAACCTCCGGATTGGACCTCTACCTACTGTTCAAAAAACATTGATTCAGTGGAGGTACAGTAGGTTGTTGTTTTCTCCATAGTTTCAGTGCTGTGGATTTACTGGACCTATAGTATGTTAGACACCATGCAGAAATGTTGAGCGAGACTTTTAAAGTTGCAAAATTGAATGTCGCATCCAATCCTGAGGTTCTATTTTCTTGGAATTGAATTTGAGGATTCTGGCCAGTAGCAAGCGATGGTTGTTGGGAAAGGAAGTTGTGTTTTGCACCTTACTTATAAAGGAAAATATATGTAAAAAAAATATATATATATAAAGCCCTAGGTAGGAAATAATTGTGAAAGGCAATTTGTTTTTGCTCTTTTGGTTCATTTTATTTCCATATGCGTGCATACTCTGTAAGTTGTGTAAAATATTGTACTTGCACTAGCTTTTTTAAGAAAGAAAACTAATATAAAAAAAAATTGAATTGAAATTCTATTTTCTAATTGTGGTGTGTCTATTTGTAGGATACACTCACGTTGTTTCTTGGATTTTTTTGGTCCCTTTCTTTGATGGTGCTTGCCGGTTTTCTAGTTAGAACTTATTTCATTATTCTGAACAACAAAACAATATTTGATTCAGGTTGTGAACAAATTTGTTTAAAAAAAAAGAAATTGTCTGTATACCAGTACAAGTTTATTGTTGCAGTATACACGTACTAATAAAAATGACAGTGCCAATTGCAAACTGCACCCTTTTTGGAGTTTGTGATTTGTGAGAACGGGGTTTTAAAGGTGCTTTTGTCAGATAGAGTGGGCTTATTTCGCCGACAGACATGAACACACACTCTCAAACAATTGCAGGTATTCCACAGGCTTCTTTGACTCCAGCGCACCTAGTCAATGGAGTGTGGGTGTTGGCGGAGGTGGCGGCCATGAGTATTCGCTGGATCATTCCTTTGAAAAAGTGTAGATGGAAGACATTGAGATCTTATCAGACACGACAAACCCACACTTGACTGTGTGGGAAAAAGCAATGGCTGGCAGAATGAGCCCAAACCGATTCAGCTCTGTCTGCTTGTCTGTCTTTGTGTTACCATAGTTTCAACCACAATACAGTAGCCTAGTCTGAAAAGAAGGTAAGTTGATTATAAAAGTCTAAATATACACATATAATGAAAGAAACAAGAAATATCATCAGTGTGTGTGATGAAGACTCCCCAGGTACAGAACCCTGTAAGGAATGTGTATCAACAATCATTTCACGTCTTTTTGGAATGCTCGATTCTGATTGGTCGATCACTGAAATCAGCGGTCAGATATTTCAATGGCAAAGCTGAATACCTGTATATCAACAGAAACCAGTGTCGTGAGAAATCGGGTCTGTAGCTGGGCTCACGCCATGTCGTAATTACCCTAATTTCGAGATGACAACACATGATGTTCTTCTCTGAGCTCGGGCTGGGAATTATGCATTTCTATAGCAACACTATCAACTCCTAAGTGAATCTTCAGCGGTCAGGTACAAGTAGGAGCTCTCCAAAAAATTCCCAGCTTACAAGTTGTAATACGAGCTCTACTAGGACGTGAACGCTGACGTTGAAATCTCGTAATTATTTAAATGCACCTTTTGAACCAATGGGATTTGCTCGGGGTCCTAATGGACTGCAGTCCGGGTTCCGGAAGTAGGCTCCAAATCACATTCATGTTCTCCATAGGGGATTTTGTAACAATTTATTAATAATTTAAGACAGCTATTGTGAGCTTCAAAGTTGTTAATCAATGTTATATGCTTTTGCTGAAGAGCTTTTGCCATTAGTCTGCTTTATTTCAACTTATTTTTTAAATGATTGTGTTCATCAGTGGAATTACCCATGATTCTTCTAAAAAATCTTCACCCATCACTCACTTGAAGCACTGCAAATGACGTGATAGTCAAGTTGTGTCCCAAATGACACACTATACACTTATACTACTCAGTGTAGTATATGAATTTTATAAGGTTATTTTGTCATTCAACATCTGAGTCTAATAGCCCCTCCCCCTCCACTAGGTAATTAAAGCTGCATGAAGTGTCTGACATTCCACACTTTGGTGCATCTTCCGGGTATTTAAAGTGTACTTTTTCTATTTGGAATTTTCAGTGTGAACACGCAACTCGCACTATAGAATTGTGCATAAGTCACCCAAAGTACTTAAAAAATTGCGTGCAAAATTCACATATTTTTCAATAAACTTAAATTATGTTGTTTCTACACAATGAGCATCTTTAAATCAATAGTTTTATATTTATCCATTGTTTTTAATCATAACATGATCATGGCATTCACAATGCGTCATGGGATTGTAGTTTCCCTTATTAAAGCCGTCAAATACACAGCCTTGAACCTCTGTCTTTTTTTATTGCTTTAAAACCAAATGTGATTTTTGTGAATCATCTCATTGCTGGTTAATTTGGTTCATGGCTTATGACTTGACAAAAACGTTTTAAAAATCCCTATGGGGAAAATGAATGGTGAAAATACTTCTACTATCATGGTGTTTTTATTACTCAACAGGTGAGTACGGTATTTTATTGAACCCGTAAACTGCCATATGTAGCTCTCTAACAGAGTTAATTGTGAAGCATTATCTATTAAGGGTCATATTATTATGGTTTTAGTGCTGTGTGTGCTGGAATTTATTTTCAAGGAAGTACCGTGTCTATTAATGGGTAAAGCTACAGTAACGTCTTCAGCTAGTCAGCCTGAGATCCTTTCCATCTACACTGGTTATTTCTGGCCCTGTAGTGAGTGTTTTATGAGCAATAGGACAAAGAACCATATTCATCCACAGTCACGCAGGGTCGAAGCACAACCACAGCAATGTTCTTCCTAAAAATGCATGCAGTTTTGTTTTTTAACCGCTAGAAGTCCACAGGTTACCTACTGTACCTTAAACTGGTTATTTCCTTTTTATTTCCTAGTGATAAAGTATGTTTACAAGCTGTTTAATTCATGAGCTTTAATCAAATTAGACTTCTTTTTTTACGGAATCATGAAGATAATATAAGTATGTACAGTCAGCTGGTCATTATTCCAAAATAACATATTTGATCACATAATTGAACAAAAATGGAAAGGTATTTAGGGCACAGGTTTCATTCAGATGTTTATTCCTCCATATGTAATGTTTTACTCATAACACATTTAATCCTGTATTTTCTACCTCATCTAAACTGCACAAGGCATGTTGATGAAATGAGGTGCAGGAGGTTTCACATTCCTCTGGTCTGATATGACATCCCACCACACCCATTGTACAATCACAAAGGAAGCAGGCCAGCAGAAATAGTTCACAACAGTACACCAATGCACCAATCTCTGCACAAATCAACTCAAACTTAGAGCACAACACGCAGGAGCGAGCATAAAGTGGCAGAGAAGATTCTCTGCTGGTGTGTAAATTCTTCACTAGCATGCATTTCTTTCAGTTGCTATACTATAGGGAGAGAATGGGTTAGAATGAATCATACCACTAGTATTTTCCTGTCAAGAGACTTATTAGTTGTTTCCTTATTCACCCTCTCGTACAGATGCAACCCCATTGCATACTTTAAAGAACTTAAAGGTTGTAAATGAACTAAATTGAGCCATGCTACAACATTGGTTTTCCAAAGAAATTGTATACAGCAAGGTTCCTGAGTATCTATGGAGCACAGAAAACTGGAAGACAGAGGGAAATATGTTCATGAATGTCTTTCCTCTCCTCTTTATGGTAGAATTATGCTGCTCATTTCACCCAAAATTCAATTTGCATTAGCAGCTGAACTATTCCTTACCTAGTAATGGTGAATCTGTATTTGTGAGTGTGCATGTTTGTTTAGCCTGTGGGACTAGGTGAACATTTGGCTAGACTGCTGTGTGACTCTGATGAAGGTTGTCCTGCGGCTCAGTTCTTTGAGTTTGGCAGCTCCTACATATGTGCATGTGGACCGCAAACCACCCATGATGTCCCTGATGGTGTTTTCGACGTCACCTTTGTAGGCCACCTGGACCGTCCTGCCCTCTGATGCCCTTGAAATCACATAAACAGATGTACACATAGATGACCTGCAATATCAGTTATTTATGTAGCTCTGGTGCCACACGTCCTTTAACAAATGCACTTAAACCCCAAAATGAATTGGCATAAATATGCCCTATATAATGTATGAAAACATCCTCACCTGTACTCTGCTATCCCTCCGACGTACTTCTTCATGGCTGTGTCCGAGCTCATCCCATAGAACATCTTGAACTTCTTGCCATCTTTCTCAATGACTTCACCAGCACATTGATCGTGTCCCGCTAACATTCCTCCCAGCATGACAAAATCTGCCCCAGCGCCTAATGAAAATGTATTATTAGATAGATTAAGGGCCTATTCACACCAAGAACAATACCTATAAAGATAACTATAACAATAATATAAGCATCCACACAACGCACGATAACATTGTCGTCTCCTGCTTTAAATTCCTGAGCGCCCTAAAGCAAGATGGATTCTGATTGGCTATCAATGTTTTTATCATTAAATAGCTGGGGAGAAAAAATTATTGTGAAATTGATTCCAACAATATCGTTCCTCTGTGTGGTTATCGTTATATTTGTAGTGTGGACTATGCTAATCTTTAAAACTTTCATTATCGTCCGTGGTGTGAATGGGCTTAGTAGGACAACAATAGATATAATAACTTTTATAATAGTACAAAAACAGTAAAATGATGCTTTTATTGTTTGGTGTTTGAAACATGAAACCACTCATCACTGCTCACCAAAAGCTTTGGCAACATCCCCGGGGCAACTGCAGCCTCCATCCTAGAAAAAAAGAGAAAGCTTTACAAACTCCTGCCTATATGGTCATATAACAGCACAGTTGAAAAGCAATCGTATAGACCTTAGTCTGGTTAGACGCCATATTGAATTTAATGCAGATGAAAGCTTTGAGGGATAGACTTAGTCTTTACAATGGCATACACTGTAGAAAAGTCATAGATCACTTAATTTTGCCAACTCACAACTTTCAACAGCATTGCTTTCATTCCTGTCAAAAAATTAAATATGGCGCTACCCTGACTAAGGTCTTTAGCTAAGTGTGGCACTAGCGTCGCAAAGGTCTATTCGCAGTTATTCAGTTTCCAAAAATGCATGAGCTGATAAAATGTTTTATTTGAATCCAAAGTTGCTTTGGGCTACTTAGAATGAATTTTGCTGTTACTGTGTCAAACCTATGAAACAGAAATTGCAATTTAACTGGATTTTATTTATAAATAAATTCACCAGTAGTTTATCCATGGTTGCAACTAGAACTGTTAAAACTTGTCTCTCAACAAGCTTGTGCGTCTCATTAAAGGAAGAAAAGAAACTACTTAAAAAGTGTTTTTTTTTTTGTTTAAAATAAAAATTATTTTAATAGCATGCTGCAGGGATACTGTATTTTTGCAATGCCAAAACTCACAAATGAGTTCGCATTTTACCATTTCAGGTTCCATCATCAAAGTCAATGCGTTTTTTAAATGGGTTTTTGGTTAAATGTCTAAAATAATGTCTGTGGTTAACACAATATCAAGATACTTTCACAATTTATTCTACAACATAAAATACATCAGTAATACCCCTGCTTTTACAGCCTTAGAGACCGAAAGAGAAGGTGACGTTGAAGTCATGCGACCATAGTCTAGTTCGCTTATACGTTTAGCTTTTTACTTTTTAGCCAATTTTATTTAGGCTCCAAAATTCATTAAAGTTGTGTTCATTTGTGAAGATTATCATGATGAGCAAAATGTGTAAGAATCATAAACTTTTGTAGGTCACAAAACTTATTTTATGCAATAATCCAAAAGCTAGTGGAATATTAGCTATTGGGTTTTTGTCCTGGAAACCAGGGTGATGCCAACTTCCGGGTTGGCCTAAAAGAAAAATCGTCTGTTTTGGTGTTAATGAAGCCTTTGAGCCTTTCTGATGGGACAAATAAAACTGACAAGGTAGGGAAACACTGGAATAGAATTGAGGATGCTGCCCTCTTGTGGTAATGTGATGTCACTTGTATGTGGGTTCCCAACTGCCAATCTGTGCCTTGCATTAAAGGATGGCGTAATGCTAACCATGAAAACCATTTCATTTAAAGAGACTCACAGATATTATGTGTCCTTTCAGTCCATGGGCCGAGTCAGCACACTCAATAACAGCACTCAGTTGAGGATAACCCACACCGGTCTTAATGCGTGTGGTGCACACAGAACCTAAAGATCACAGTGTTTTCAAACATCATTAACATGCTCCAGATACGGCAAGGAATGCTATTTAATATGAAGGACGATTACCTGGCCCAATGCCCACTTTAATGATATCAGCTCCAGACAGAATGAGTTCCTCCACCATCTCTCCTGTCACCACATTTCCTGCCTAAATGATCAAGATCCTTGTGTTATATGACATTTGTTGTTCAACAAACACAAATAGATAGCCTATACTTATATCATGCTTGTTATATTATGTTTGGGCAAAAATCTCACCATGATGGTGTGCTTAGGAAACTTTTCCCGAACTTTTTTGACAAACTCCACAAAGTGTTCCGAGTAGCCATTGGCCACGTCCAGGCAGATGTACTGGATGAGAGGAATGGCCTCCAGGATGCTGGACAGTTTTTCCAGATCCGCCACTCCACTGCCTGAGCTGGCCGCGATATGCTGAGGATGAGACGGTAGATATGCTTAAAGGGTTAGTTCACCCAAAAATGATGTCATTAATGACTCTCCCTCATGTCGTTCCAAGCCCGTAAGATCTCCGTTCATCTTCGGAACACAGTTTAAGATATTTTAGATTTAGTCCGAGAGTTTTCTGTCCCTCCATTGAAAATGTATGTACGGTATACTGTCCTTGTCCAGAAAGGAAATAAAGACATCATCAAAGTAGTCCATGTGACATCAGTGGGTTAGTTAGAATGTTTTGAAGCATCGAAAATACATTTTGGTCTAAAAATAACAAAAACTATGACTTTATTCAGCATTGTATTGTCTTCCGGTTCTGTTGTCAATCCGCGTTCAGTGATGCTGATGACGTAAGACGCTGCTGACGTGTAATCTGGTGCGCCCGAGCTTCGTTTACAGTCTCTGAGGGAGACGCACGCTATAAACAAAACAATCTTCACAAACATGTCTAAGGATTTCGACACAGAGGAAGACCTGCATTTTTTTGCCCAGCCATATTTATTTGAACCCGAATACACGGACACACCAGAACACGTCAGTAGCGTCTTACATCATCAGCGTCACTGCGGACTCGTGAACGCGGCTTGACAACAGAACCGGAAGACAATACAATGCTGAATAAAGTCGTAGTTTTTGTTATTTTTGGACCAAAATGTATTTTCGATGCTTCAAAAAATTCTAACAAACCCACTGATGTCACATGGACTACTTTGATGATGTCTTTATTTCCTTTCTGGACAAGGACAGTATATCGTACATACATTCTCAATGGAGGGAAAGAAAGCTCTCGGACTAAATCTAAAATATCTTAAACTGTGTTCCGAAGATGAACGGAGGTCTTACGGGCTTGGGACAACATGAGGGTGAGTCATTAATGACATCATTTTCATTTTTGGGTGAACTAACCCTTTAAAGGGGTCATTGGATGCAAAATTCACTTTTATATGGTGTTTGCATATAAATGTGTCTTTGCAGTGTGTGGACACAACCACCATACAATGAAAAGAATCCATTCGCTCCTTTTTTTTTTTATCCTCAAAAAGCCTAAACAATAATCAAGCCGTTTGGATTTTCTGAGCAATATGATGTCATATTGCTCATGCTCCGCCCACGACCACTGACGAACTGTCCCGTATTAGCATATTTCCGCCCTCAGCCATTTGTATACTGTCTGCCAAGGCAGCACTTTATGTGTCTTGTGTCGACACGGCCCACGGAAGAGAGGGGTGGGGTGAGCAGTTGCTCATTATCATTTCAAAAAGGGTAAAAAGGGTGTTGTTTTACACAACCATTGAGGAATTTTAACCAAAGTATGTAACAAACTTTACATGAAGACCATAAAGAATCATACCAACTTGTGGAAAATGGGCATCCGATATCCCCTTAAAGGCTTCGTTGATTCACTGCAGGAACTTTGTGGAGAAATAAGAAAGTTTCCGTCTAGAAAACTAAATGTGCTAAAAGTTACATGCGTTTAAAAAAAAAACATTTAAAAGATGATTGCGACTTTATCTCACAATTCTGACGACTTTTTTATTCAGTGGCAGAACAAGCGTCCATAGTGTTAGTCTGCTGAGGTTATTATAGACAGATTTGAAGTCTGAAAGAATATGCCTTGTTATGGTTTCTAATGTTTTCTGTGTCTGCTAGGCAGAGGTTCAGAAAGTAAAAGTCCTCCTCAGTATTTTGTTCCAATCACCTGGATTTGCCAATTAGCACTGTTTTTCAGCTAGGACCAGGAGATAGACCTAATTAGTGAAACCAGCTGTCTAAGTTCATGGGTGGAATAAACATATGGCAGAACTTTTACTTTCTGACCCCTGGACTTTACACCTCTGTTGCTAGGTGGTTGCTCGATTGTTGTGGCTAGGGTATTTTGGCTAATTGCTGCTATGCGTTACTAGGGTGATCTGAGGATAATAGCTGGGGGATGCCAGGCCTTTTCTATGGTGTTCTTAGTGTTTTTTCACGACAAACGGTTTTCCTCTGTACAGATAAAAACATTATCAAAATGATTCCCGTTCACACGGATCTGCGGAAACGACTAAAAACGCTGTATTATGCATACCAGACAAGTAATTGGCAATGTCGCTTTGTAAAGAAAGACTACACGCCTGCGCACATTCGCATTCAAATTTGCATGCCGTTGCTGTTTTCACAGATTCAAGTTTTTAAAGTTTACACGGAGATGATAACGGTATCGCTTTCAAACCCCGTTTTCAATTTGAAACCATTAAAAGTTTTCTGTTTTCAGTTGAAAACAGTGTCATGTTAGCCAAGTTAACAACTAATGATTTTTTTCAATGGAAATTAATCAATAAAAAAACGTATTTAAGCTAGACAATGACTAGAGCTGCTGTACAGCCAAAACAATCTTTGTTGCATTCATTTCCTATTATCACTGTAAAGCTGCTTTGAAACAATCTGTATTGTAAAACGAGCTATATAAATCAATGTGATTGTTAGGCAGTTGATAGACTAAACCTTTTAATTAAACTGCTTTTGATTAAGCGAGGCAAGAAAAACATTTTTGTCCATTCACCTCAAGGCACTCTGGATGACTGGCAGCAAAGGTCTTCCACTCCTCCAGGGAGTAGTGCTTCTGGATGGCTGTGAAGAGAGTGTACTGAAAGACAGACCAGAGAGATGTCTGAGAGACCAGCAAAGTGTCTGGCACCGAGACAGACAGAAATATAAAAGCCTCTTGATCCCAGTGCATGGAAACAGGACACAGCTAATTATGTTTCAGTGATACTCACAGAGATAAAACATAGTAAAACAAGACTTTTCCTGGGTTATGTTTCAGACGCAGGTGCTGTGTTTCTTCAGTTAGTGAGCTTTGTTTAAAGAAGCACTCACCTTGCTGAGCACCTGTGCCATCTCAAAAGTGCCGGTGGTGTCCATGTTAGCAGCGATGATCGGGATGCCATTGTATGTCTGCTTTGAGTTCCGGAATGTGAAGGTCCTCTGCAGGTCAACCTTCAAGGACAAAAAATAAAGAGGAAATAACTTTTCAAACATACAAACAGTACATGTGACCGTCTGAAGAGCCTCATTTTAATGGATAAACATCCTGTGTTCCTAAATCCTGTTCTCCTGTCCCTGTAACCCATCATAGCATGAACTCAAAGATATTACAACTGAAAGATATTTAGACCCATCAACTGAGCTGGAGTCATTCTCCACGTCTGGTGGATGTCAAATGCAGTGTTTAATGTGCAGTAGTGCTTTCTCTGAATAAAATAAGGAGTGTCCGTCTGTTCTAGTTTGAAATTTGAAACAAAGCATATTGATATATTACACAAGAGTGAGGCAAGCAGTCATATTACATACAGTATTACCATTTTTTGTGGTATTTTTAAGCATCTGGTATGCAGAACCACTAAGCAGAAGATTTGTAGTTATTATTTAAATTCTGCTGTTATATCTGCTCTTTTATTGAAAAACATCAAAAATTGTGTTTCTTCAATAGCTTGATAAAATTGTCTGTATATAATACACCCAGATTTACCTTTGTTTGCACGTTCAGATGAATGTTAATGTTCAATGGATATTCTTGAATAAGGTGTTATATGAACCAAAATTCAATACATTTTTATTAGATTAGTCATATTCAAGTTGTAGTATTAAAATGGAATATTGACTTCTTATTGTCAATCAGGTATATTATGTTAACTTGACATTTACATGTATGTCATCAACATGCGTATATGCCAATGCTTGAGGTTGCTCTACTCTGATTGACAAGATGTATCTATGCACTGTTGTTGTTATTATTATTTTTTTTTTGCAATTCCAATTAAACATTTTTTTTTTGATGGGTCACAGAATTCGATGTAACAAGGGGAACTAAAATGTTTAGGTGTTTATAATGTTTGTAAAAGTTTTTATTGTATTGTATGGTATTATACATTATTTTGTGAATGTAATAATAAAATGTGACAATGCAATTTTGACCCGGTTTGAGTTATAGTCAAGTGCAACTTACTTTCTGGAAATTAAAAAAGATTTTTAAATATATTAAAATAGAAAAAGTTAATTTAAATTCTAATAATTACTGTTTTTACTTTATTTTTGATCAAATAAGTGAAGCCTTGGCGAGTGCAAGAAGCCTATTTAAAAAACATAAAAAATTCTTACCAACCCCAAACTTGCTAATGGTAGTATATAATCAGAATATGACCAAATTCTGATTAATATCATCCATCCAGCTGAGAGACTGTGGTGGGCTTAAGTGAAATTGAGCTGAATCATTTATAGTTTTGTCTGCTTGCGAAAAAATAATATTGCAAACTGATATGCACAGAAGCTCTCTCTCTCTCACACACACACACACACACACACGTTCTCAGGTTCTCCGAATCGGTTCTCGATGATTTCCAGTAACTGCTGCAGTCACACTACACTGCCCTATGAATAATCATCCTGCTGCTATTTACTGAACTGCTTTTGTGCTGTGGGGAACAAATTCCCCATTCTCCTGTTTGAAGAGACATTTCACGGACATTCCAGGCATACAATTGGGATCCTCTCGTTTATTGTTGATGTTTAAGGCTAGGTCAGTGATAGATTACTCCAGGTTATAAAGAGGACCTCAGCTGCTCTCCTATTTTAATGAGCCTGTATATCATCACACCAGTGTTCCTGTCCGTACAGTGACAGCCATCAGATTAGCCAGACGCAGCGAGATCTCACCCCGGCACTTTACGTCATCCTGCAGTGAAAACCTCCTCTGAATTCATCAGCCAGGACACACATAGGAAACAGTAGATTATCAATGTTGTAAACCTGACAGATTAGCATGTGGATTTTGAAAGCAGGTGTTTAACTAAGAAAGCTACACTTTAACTGGAACAAAAAGAATGTCTGGGTGAAATATGAAAGAATTACAGGCATACAACCCATGTAGATAATCATATGTTTTGGTATCATTGTGTGTCGTTGGGTGGACCTATAGTGTGACCAAGAGTTACACCACAGTGGAATCTGCTTCTATTCATGTTTAAAAATAGGCCTGAAGCATGCCAACATGTTTTGAAAGCACTAATGTTAGCTCTCAGGTTGCTTTTCCTTAGCCTGGTCAGTTGACCCTAAAAACCACTGGACTTGTTTCAAGACACATCAACACCACAAAATAAAGAGAAGCCAACATACTGGAGCACTGTCTGCTGATCAAGCTTGATAAACTGCTATTGGTTGAAGCTTAAACATGGGCCCCATAAAAAACAGATGAACTTCATCAAGGTCATCCTAATTTCAGTTTCATTCTTAGCCCAAACATGAATGCAGCTCCCTTGGTACTCAGTTTAAATGTATCTTTCAGGTATAACAAGACAAGGCCAGTGGCACAAATTTCTTTTAACAGAGACAGCAAGCAGATGCTCTTACCTCAGACCTGCTCTTCAGACTGCTTCTCTTTGGTCTGAAAAGGACATCTTTAAAGTCCAGTTTGAGGTCAGCATCCACCCGTGGCATAGTGACAGGCCTGAGAGCGGATGAGAATCTCCTGAGACGGGCTGGTGCAGTCACTGGTGCAGTCACTGGTCCAGAGCTCCAGACACCAAACCCGAACCGGCAGAAGAACAGCTTATTTATAGTGTAGAAAGGATCGTCACTGCCCAGGCCCCCATGGCTTTATTTGGCAAGGCCTGTACGCTCTCTCCTTCGCTCTCTCTCCTCTCTCTATTCCCCCCCCTCCGCCTGCATTCAGTCTAGAGTGGCAGAAGCAGTAGCAGTGATAAAAGTGTTTTCTATGGCTGTCTGACACACTCAAGCACAGTCACTGCAGCTCAGCTGATCAGCACTGCAGTATGTGCAGAGCTCCTGCTGTCCAGCAGAGGTATTGCAACTCTGAATCAATGAGTGGACTCGTGGGAAATGAGAGAGAGAGAGAGAGAGAGAGAGAGAGAGAGAGAGAGAGAGAGAGAGAGAGAGAGAGAGAGAGAGAGAGAGAGAGTAGTAGAGGAAGGACATGAAATAGGCTACATTTTAAGTATCGTAAGTACATACTTTGCTCCTGAAGCTTCGACGATATCCGCCCACTCATCAGGGTAAAAAAAACTGCGCGTGGAAATCAGGAGCGAAGTCCGTGTAGCTGCTGAATCCATGGGTAGTTTTTCCAGTACCACCAGAACCACTCGCTGCCGAACGCGGGCACTGAAAACACCCCCCAATGAACAAAGATCCCGAACTGGTCTGGAGTCGAGACTGGCCCAGTCTGGTGTATATCGAGCACCGAATAATGAAGCGCATGATAGAAGACAAAGAACCAGCGATATCTGACTCAGAGTCACTTGCATGATTGATCAAAGACGCGCGCGCGTGCACTGTGGTCAGTATAGTGACTAATGCATGAATGATCAGTACAGTAGGCTACATCCGTACATCACACATTTCTGCCGACATAACTTACGATTCAGCATAATGCAGACCCAAACAATTGTATTTTCTTCCTGGTTAACCATTATGCCATCACACATGTGACTACAACACATGACTTCCCTTCTAACCACTTGTAACAAAGGATGGGGATCCAAATGAGTTTAACGTTTGTTCGGGAACGGGAATCGGTCAATTCTGGTGAAAGAAAAAGCTTTCGCTTCCCGTTCGAACTGATCCCCGCCACTCTGTTCCTTTTGAAAAATGGGAAATGCCACTTTTACTACCTTTACTATTATAAAAGAAAATATTTAATTGCCTTTTCAAATAAAAAATAAAAAAGCAATATGACGAACAACTTCTTGATAAGTAGCAAAAGTAATGTTTATAGGCTAGTCTACAAATAATGTAGAACTACACTAGCCTAAATAAATATAGGCTAACTGTAACCAACTTTTATTTTGCAACCTAAAAAAGTTCAGCTCAGCATATGTTTTAGGTTCATATTTCACATACATACTCAGTCATAACAGTTAATTAATTAAACATATTAATACACAAGACCATTGACATGGTCCCTAAAAAGTAGGGATGTCCCGATCAGGTTTTTTTGCCCTCGAGTCCGAGTCATTCGATTTTGAGTATCTACCGAAACCGAGTCCCGATCCGATACTTATATAATACATAAAAAAAGAATAAAGAAGAGAGAAAAAACAGATCCAGGATGTTCCTTATTTTTTATTTAATTAACCTTATTTTAACGTTCAACAACTCTTAACAAACAGAGCACTTCTGTGAGGTAGCTTGAACAATGAAGTAATAAATAACATCAAATCTTCACTTTTGGACTTTAGTGCAACAGCAGTAACGTAACGTGCGGTGAAGTCTTGTCATGGGTAGGCTGTGACCTATCAATGTGGCATATTCACAGGGGCGTAATTTGCCGCTGCGATCGGTGGCGCGGTTACAGTGTATATCTCGTGGCTAACGCAGTCTTCACATGCACGCGCGGAGACTTTTTGTTCGTTTCGGTGAAATCACAAAACAAAAATGTACACAAACGTGTCCCTGCTTAATATAATACAACCACTGATGAACATATTCGGTTTTGATAAAAAAAAAAAATAAAAAAAAAACTATACGAGTGCGGATTAGAACCCCGAACCTCTGACATGCTCGGCAAAAGTTCTACCACTGGACCATTAAAGGACTCACGTCAAATATATTTATTCACGGGATTCATTCATTTATACACACATACGCGCACACACATACACCTGTCCCACCCACTTTTTAAAACAAAGTTAAGCCACTGTATATTCATTCAGGTAATTTAGCAACCCAAGTTAATATCAGGCATCATCACATCGCTGCCTGCATACAGAGCAAAGTCAGAATCGCGGATTGAGTGAGAGCGAGTGGATCACGTGATATGAAGCAGTCTCGGTCTCTGCCTCAATGTTGATAATTCAAAACAGCATGAGAACTGACTGCGCATGCGCAAACCTCCGTAAACTACGTTCTATGGACCAAAGAGGCACTGCGAACCTCTGCCTCAATGACCATGGCCTTGAATTTCCTGCATGAAACAATGGTTTTTAGGAGCAAACTATGGCAAAAGGAGTATTATATAAGTATTCCTGATTATTTTTGTTACAAAAATTAATATTTGGAATAAAATAAATGCAATTAATAATGTGGTGAATTAATAAAGCTCTTGGGATTAATAAATGTAATGTCAGCATTTCCTTTGGTGAGGCACTGCCTACCCTGCCTACCCTGACCGCACGTCCCTGTGCAACAGTAAATATAGAAAAAGTCTAAAATAAAAACAAATAGCACCTCAACTTAAAATACCTGGCAGGCATGTAAACAAAAAATAAAAATGTTTTAAAAGTGTATAAAAAAAAGAGAGAATATATAGCCTATATACATTAGGGGTGTAACAGTTCACAAAATTTGTGGTTTGGTTCGATACGATACAGCAAAAAGAAAGAAATGCCAGAGAAATTTCCTATTAAATAGATTTTATTAAAAGAAAAACTTTTTTTAAATAAGTTTGAGTTTTCCTACATCTTGAAAATTTCAGGTTTATAAATGGGGGCAATCTTTGAAGGATGAACAAATAATGTTTTGGTAACATTAAAAATAACATTTAAATATATATACAGTGGCGAATTCAAATGTTTTCTTTACTGGATCTCTTAGCGCTGTGTGGTAACAGTGTCGCTTGATCGAGATCGGCGCGCGCTGCACAGATGTTGCTGATCCGAACTGATAATGGTCCGTTAAGCACAATATAATGAGAAGCGCAGACTCGTTCCGCTTTCATTACGTTTGCCATTTGATGTTGCGCAACGTTGTGGTGATCGCGCCAGCGCGGATTTTGTCTGCAGGAAAAATGGTTCTAGGAGTCGTTCGGTTTGTATGCGTACCGAACCGGAAGCCTTCAATAATAACGAATACATGTACCGTTAAACCCCTAATTTACATATATCCGAGTCCTGATCGGGAGGTAACGTCCGATTCCGATCGAGTCTGAAACCACGTGATCGGGCACCATTTCCGATCGCGTGATCGGATCGGGACATCCCTACTAAAAAGTGTACTTTAAAATATACAAATATTTATTCAAACATAATCCATAATAAGCCCCTGCAGATGTATACAAAACCCTAAACATAACATTACACAACTTTCCCAGCTGCCTAATATTTCAAATAAAAAGTAACCTTTTAATTCCAACAAATAATTAAATAATTTCCAAAATAATATTTCTATTCCACAAATAATATGAAGGAAAAATGATTAAACTGGTAGTTAGTTACCAGTAAACATTAGGCACACCCTGACGTCTATTACAAAGATTTATTTTTCTTCACTATAAGGTATTTTGGCCAACTAATAAAATGACACAAGCATCAGTTGAATTATGTTTCCATTTTAGCCCTGGGCAGGGATGGGCTGGGCAGTATTTCAGATACATGTATTTAAAATACGTATTTGAAATACAAAATACTAATTTGTATTTTGAAGTCTTTGGAAAAAAATCAAATATAATTTGTATTTAAATACATTTAAGATGAGTATTTTTGTATTTTAAAAATAGATAAAATACTTTTTGCCAGTCAACCTCTTTATCAGGGTACTGGTTTGGTGTATCAACTAGTTCAGACAAATTCAGTTTTTGCTGTTGTATCAAAACTGATATTGAGAATTGTGAAACCATGATATATATTGTTACTGTGAAGTAAAATTAAGATTTTGGGTCATATTTTTTGTTAGATAGCAGAAAAAGTTCCTACAGTTTTACATACAGTATGCATTTTTTAATAGTGATCACCACAAGTAATAGACTACATTGTAACCTGGTCAGAAATAAGTATATAAATGGCTGCTATTTTGCACAAGTTTATTTGTAATTGCCAGCAATAGGCCTACAGTTTCCTCATTCATTGTGACCTATACCTGCACTGGATGGCCAATTTCACATGTATTTTGTGTATTTTCAAAATACAAAATACTGTATTTGTATTTAAATAAATTTTTTCACAGTATTTTGAATTTTAAATACATTTCCATGTATTTATGCCCATCTTTGGCCTTGGGTTCCAAGGTATCTAATATGCAATGCTATATGATATTATTCAGATAACAATCTGAAAATGATATTTGGTGTGTCATTCAGTTGGTCATTTTATTATGCAATCATATCAAATAGTCTATGACAAAATTAAAAAAAGCTTATTTATACAAAACTTTCTTAAAACAAATGTCATTAAAATCCCCATGAACCGGAAGTTACAAACAACTTTTCTCCAGTGTTGTGACGTATTTCCATGTAAAACAGAATATTGATTGGGGAGGGAAGTTGCCACGCCATCGCGCCATAGCACATGACAGGAAGAGAAGAACAGTTGTTTCGAGGGGGGAGGGAAGGAGAACGTATTTGATTAAAGATTATAAGGGTACATTTTTTTTTTTTAATTAATGAAGTGCACAGATAAATCATTTATAATAAGCACTACAATATTACATATAAAAACACAAATTGTAAAATTTGATTTCATGGCGACTTTAAAAGTTTTAAAGGCTTTAGGTTTAGGCCACCCCGTCCAGCTTGAGTGTCCAGGCTTCAGCGGGTGAGAAAGGCA